GGGGGGGTCGACCCGGGGCTGGGGTGGGGGGCTCGGCCCGGCGCCGCAGGTGCTGATTTTCCCGTGGCACCCGCGGCTCAGCCCCGACGGCTCGGCCCCCGGGAGAGCCCCAGATGCCCGGCCCGGCCCACGGCCGGAGCAGAGCTGTCCCCGCGCGGTGTGCCCAGGCGGATGGGAACGGCCCGGGTGAGCCGAGGTATAATTATTACTCATCATATACTGTACATCTCTCCCTCTCCTTTTTTTTTTTTTTTCAAAGCTGCCGCAAAGTGGGAGCAATATGTTGCATGCATGCTAATTGCATTAACCTAGTTAGACACATTTAGTTCCCTAGCGCGGATGGCATGGATCTATTCCAATAGCAATTAGAGGAGCTACTTACCCACACAAACACGCCGAGGCTGGGCCAGGGCGGGGCGGGGGGCTTTGCTTATTTATTTGCTCATTTTTCGTCCGAGCCCCGGCTGCCGGCGGGACTGCCCGGCTGCGAGCCTCGCCCCGTCCGGCGGCGGGCGGGAGGCGGGCGGCACCGGTGTCATTGAACTTAAACGGGGCTCTTTGAGCGAGAAAAAGAGCCGACCCATAATTCGATCTTGTCCTGTATTAGGACCTCATTAAACACAGAAAGTCGCTTTTGCACAAATGCTTCCATCAGGCATGTAATCTCATTACACTCATTAGAAAGTCAAATGTTAGTCGGACTTCAGCTTAATTATAAGTTATGGAAGTGTTGTACCGCTTCCTTCTGTGTATAGCCCCGTCCGTCTCAATTGGCTTTGGTGATGCGGTCCCCCACAATTAAAACACTACAATCATTGTTATGTGGCACCTTTTCTTCGGCGTGCCACTTTTTTTGTGATTCAATGCTTCAACACATCCTTTAGTATGGTGCAGATGAAGCGGAAGAGCCGGCCTTCGCATGTAAAACACCAGGGTCTCTATCTTGTCACTCTCCCGTCTTGACTTGGCAAGTCCCTTTAAACGCAATCTTCAAAGAGACTGACAGCTCCTTTTGACCGACTCATCATCCATTCACCCCAGCGCCGCGCTCCTGCGACAAAATCCCACCGCACAGGGCAGGAGGAAAGCGCCCGTGCAGGTCCCCCGGGCCGGAGGGACCCGGCGGGACCCGGCGGGACCCGGCGGCTCCCGCAAGCCCGGCTCGCAGCTCTCGCGGCAGCTTCGGGGGATTTCGCCCGTGGGGAACACGCCTCGGCGCGGTACGGACCAGCGTGGGGCAGCCGTGACTGACAGCCGCGCAGCCCCGGTTCCCGGCCGCCTGCCCCCGCTCCTCCCCGCGGCCGTGAGCGGGAGGATCGCCGCGATGGCTGCACCTTCCAGCGCTGCCCCCCCCTCCCGGCGCGTCCCGGGCAGCGGCTC